TCTTGCACACAGTTGTCTTCACATTAGGGACCCTAAGCAAAGACGACTTTGAGCGATGCACGTCAACCGGAAGTGAGGCCTTCTCTTCTTTTATATGCCTTGACGCTAAAAAATTTGTATTTCTAAGTTTCTTTTCTCTTATAAAGACGATTTGCCCGGGATTTTGAACCCATCCACTGCCCAATGTTGCAAAAAGCCCACTTCCGGTTGACGTCCGTCGCTCAAAAACGCTGTTGCTTAAGCTCCCTTTTGGAGCCAAGAGTCACGTTTGCGGCAAACGGCAAACGTGAATTTGTACCACGTGACCAAGTGTTCCCTGTTTCTTGTTGTGAAATTCTCAACTTGAATCTGACGTTTGCTCTTTTCCGTAAAAGAGACTCTAAATATCTCTGTTCAGTCTGCCATGGCTCACGGTTTCCTGTACTTTTTTTAACTGGAATTGAATGTGTTTAAGTGAATCTTTTTCCGTGATGCGGTGTGTATTTTGTATCAGTACGGGGACTTTTTTATGTAATGAATAATTAAAAGGGATGACAATTCGAGGAGGGCGATATTTTTAAAACAGATATATAACAAATACGCAACCCTTTTCCGGATTCAGGCCCATGTTTCGTGGTAGGAGGGAGGGCTACCCACCTATCATAAGGCATAGGAAGGTTGTACTTTCCTCAAGTTAACAAAGCCTTGATCTGAGACATGCGATTAGCTTTGGTAGGCTAAGGTAATAGGCCCTTTGCAGCTAGTCATTCACGTGGTACAAAACCGCCGTGCTGGAGAGCAAAAGTCGCACTGGGACAAGACTAACAAAGAAAATTACCATTTAAAATTATGCCGGTATGTCTTTTGTTTGTCTTGTCCCAGTGCGACTTTTGCTCTCCAGCATGGCGGTTTTGTACCACATGAATGGCTAGCTGCAGAGGGCCTATTACTAGTGTCATCAAATCGCAAACTACAAAGTTACCCACCTTCTCTCAAATCAACTCGAACTCAGCAAGTACAAATTCTTTCAACACTTTATTCACCTTAACTATACTGAGTTTTACATTTTCTTGACCCTCAAGCTAAAGCAAAGAGGAAATCAGCGTCAACAATCCATCTGCTAACTTTCATCTGTACACCCATTGACCCGTTTCTTAGACAGAACAAACATGTCATACTTTAAGGCAGCATATCTCCTTTCGCCCTCAATTAAATGATTTTGACGTTCTGTTCTTATTCTTTGAAGTTCTTCTTCATTACTGGCGCCGTCCTCGGTTGCGCCGTTTGTCATTCGTCCTATCGTGTTTAAGGTCCTGTCACAAACCTGACATGTGTCTTCTCGTGGTTTTCGAAAACCCAACCTGCTGCCGAGATCTTCGTTGAACACGTTCCTGAAGGTAGTAAAACTTATAACAGGACCTTTGTTTTTCTTTCCCAAACGTGTCGAGGTGAAATTCGGGTAATGTCTAGTAAACTCTCTCCACATTCTTCGCATAGTTGTGGGGGTATCAAAAAATTGTTTTTCCGTTCGCGCCCTTCTGTAGTGCGAGTGGTTTGCCGAATGGGAACAGATAAACTCTGTTACTTGTCTCCTCGCATCTTCCGTCAATTTGCGCGGTCTGTTACTGTGCCTACCCCGTTTATCGGGGTCAATAGATAAACAGTCACAATCCATTTTCTCTAAAAGGACTTTAATTTTTTTGGGCGACACTCCGTAGCATTTCATGAAGGCGATTTTGCACACAGGGCCTAAAGCTGGGATAATGTAGGTTATTTTTCTGCGTCCGCTAGGAAATAGTTCCACTTGCATAAGTTTCGATATCACGTAATTTTGTTCATTGTAGTTTCTAGATCTATAGAAAGCTCTACCTCGTTCCTGTCGAATAACCTGCCTCGCAGTCTCTATGCCATTCTTTAAAAGACATCCACCGTTGCAGCAGACCAAATTGACCGTGTCAACGTCGCGATAGGCGGCATTTTTTCTCCTTGAAGGTGTTTGCTTCCTTGAAGAGTACCTTTTATCCATTTTGAATCTAGTTTTTCTTCTTCCCCGTTCAACCGAGGAGGCTGTTGGTGGTCCATGACGGAAATGGCTCCATTGATTGTCCACGTCAAAGTCATACAAAAATCGGGATAGGTCGGGAGCTGACTCTGCTATACTGTTGGAAGCTGCAGCATAAGCCATTTTTTAAAAAAAACTATCGACAAGCAAGAGCGACAAGCTTTGTTCGAATCTTCAGTTCTACTTCAAGTTGTACAAAAACGCGCATTACTGTTACGTAAAAAGGGAGACGCCACCGTTCCACTAGTCGTGCAAAGTTTAGAACTGGCACAAAAAACGACTGAAAAATCGTTTATTTATTTATTTATTTTTTTACACAGGGGGATTAACTAGTTAGGTTTTGCGCTTACAGCCGTCTTAAGATTGGAGAGTATGGAAGATCGCGTGACTGGTTCTTTTAGCGCGCCTCGTTTTGAGGCAGAGAGTAAGCTTTTTTTGAAGCTTATTTCTCGGAGGGGGTGAATTTTGCAAAAGAGAAAAAACTGTGCATATATAAATATGGAACATAAACTACGCGATGGAAGGGGTTTCAGGTAAGTGAAAATCGTTGTTTTTTTGCTGAAGGAAAGCAAAGTCAGTAGTTCTGGCATGGCTGCGCTGAGAGAGACGAGAAGTACTGGGACGGGTGAGTATTTGTACCCAGAGACGTGACTATTTTTAGCTGTCGTCCGCATCCACTGCTACCCAGGGAAAGTGGTCTGCACGTGAAAAAGTCAGATTGATTGTTCCACGAAAGCACACGTAATTATCGTAAGTTTTTGTCGTCGTTAGAATTGCAATCGCCACAATTGAAAAAGACGCCATATTTCACATCCCTGATGAGGGCTCTGCAGTTCTTGATTTATTGTTGTTGTTGTCATTTTTATTATTGTCATTATTACTATCATCAACATCTGAGCCTTTGCATTGTGCTTTCCTTGAGAAAAGCTTCACAAAGACTGAGACTAACCCTTAGTCCTAAGGTATTGACTTCAGTTTCTAGGTCTTCGTATTCTGAGAGTTTTTCAGTGACCTTAACAGAGGTGGTCTTGTCTAAACGCTTTGTAACGTAGTTTGCACGTCATGTTTTCGTGATCTTAGATGACAATGTCTGGTCTCTAAGTAGCGAATCCTTGGTCGGTGTGCATTTGCATCTTCCTTAGAAATGTAACATCTTCATGTTCTACAACTGTCTGTTGGCATAAATAGATCATACCATTTTCCTGGCATCTTTTATAATTCTGCCATATCTTCCAATGAATGCACTTGCGGCCTGATCATGGCTATGGATAAACCCAGAGCCCGGAGCACTAGCCTGTTCCAGGTGTTCAGATAGTAGAGTACAGTGTTCAAATGGTGGGGAGTCAGTTAACACGCTCTACTGTCTAAACGCCTGGAACAGGCTAGTGGAGCACTTATTTATTTTTTGTGAATTTCTGGAGAATGAAGGGCGGTGGGGGGGGCGGGGGGGGGGATAGAGAGAAAGGCACTTATTTAAACCGGGCTTCTCTCCTTCTTATACAGCACTTGTTATAATACATAAATTTATTGGAGATCCATGTACTGTATACTGTATATTTTGTAAGGAGAGGTGTTAAGGAAAAGGGGGCTGCAATAGTAAACCGTTCTTTGATTATTATTATTTTCCAATATGGTCACTTTATTGAAAAGGCAAGTTAGTGTCAAACTTAATACT